ATATACAGGGTGGGCCATTAGTGTGACAAAGTAAAATAACTCCCTTGTTATTCGTAATACAGAAAAATAAGTTTATTTAAAAGTTGTACAGAATCAGAAATTCTACAGGACAAAATTAATTTGAAACACACAGGGTGATGAGTAGAAACAGGACACGCCAAACATTACTTTTTTTAAATGGAACACTGTATATTTTTAAACATATGGATTTCTGAGAAAATTCTGTATATGGTAATATAAACAGTTTAACATTTTAGTGCAGGGTTGCCAAGTTATGTAGAAAATTCTTAGAATTTTGGAAAAAACATTACCTTGAAAAAGTTGTATTAACTTTCAACTACTAACACTTGGACCAAAAATATTTGACAGAATTATTGGCAAAGACTCATATTTTAGCTAATATCGATATATTTTATACAGGGCATTTTTTATAATACGATCATTTTAAGAAAGTTCAAACTTGATTTTCTAAAATTTCGCAAATGGAACACCCTGTATTTTATTGTTCTATTTTATTCACTTTGGTCCACTTCAACTTTTATTAAGCATGTTCTATATCTAAAATTGTTATTTTTTAATATATAGCAACATTTCTGGAAAAACCTAATTTTTATTATTTTCGGTCTCGCGAAATGGCTTTGGAAAAAACTGTCACATTGTGTCAACTTGTCGGTTCATAATTTATCATCCCATATTGAGTTAATTTTATTAGTTAATATTTATTTGTGGTGTTCTATAAAATAATAAAAGTTAGGTTTTTTCAGAAATGTTGCTATATCTTAAAAACTAACAATTTTAGATATGGAACATGCTTAATAAAAGTTGAAGTGGACCGACATGTGAATAGAATAGAACAATAAAATACAGGGTGTTCCATTTGAAAAATTTTAGAAAATCAAGTTTAAACTTTTTAAAAATGATCGTATTATAAAAAACGCCCTGCATAAAATATCGATATTAGCTAATATAGGAGCCTTTGTCTAACATTTGCCTATAACTATCTCTAATTATTTTGCTCCAAGTGTTAGTAGTTGAAAGTTAATACAACTTTTTCGAGGTCATGTTTTTTCCAAAATCCGAAGAATTTTCTACATAACTTAGCAACCCCGCACTAAAATAATAAACTGTTTGTATTGCCATATATAGAATTTTCTCGGAAATCCATATGTTTCAAAATATACAGGGTGTTCCATTTAAAAAATATAATATTTGGAGTGTCCCGTTTCTACTGATCACCCTGTATGTATCAAATTAATTTTGTAGTTAGGTTTCTTGATTCTGTATAACTTTTATATAAACTTTTTTTCTGTATTATGAGTAATAAGGGAATTATTTTACTTTCTCACACTAATGGCCCACCCTGTACGTGATTACTCTTTATGATAAGGGTGATAATAGAACGGCAAGAATACAAGACACTTTGCATGACTTGCACTATCAGTTAAAAATCCCCAAATCTTAGCGTTATCAATGCTAAAACTACGAACAATGACAGATCGTTCCAACTAAGCTTGAGATAATACGGTCGCTGATCGGTTGTGAAGAATTAAATCAATGTTTGCTTGAGCTTGTACATTTTTTAAATATTTCATATTATAAATGTCATATGTCCCTTCTAGACTGCGCTGCAACTGGCGGTTTTAAACGACTCCAATCCGCTCATAGTAAAAATGCTGCTAGCGCACGGAGCTAGCTTGGAAGTCGTCGACTCGGAAGGGAACAACATAATACACCTCGCGATCGAGTGGAAGCGGACGGAGATGCTGGACATCCTCCTGAGATCCGCCGACGAACGCAAGTTCAACTTGGACGACTTCAATGCCGAAGGTAACTTAACGTAACTTAGTACAGTCATTGAAGCTTTTCACCGTCGAATTCTTTGAAACTGAACCGATCGACTTGAAATTTGGCAGGTAGTTAGAGAAAAGGTCAATGAACATTAGTGACATAGCGCCGACTGACGCTTCCATCCTGATGGGGGTTGACACCCCTTTTCGGAGGTGGAAATTTTTTTTCAAAAATAACGCTGGTAATCGATAGAGAAACAGTTTTTTAGTTATTCACGATTGAAAACTTGGAATTTTGAGTTAAAAAACACTTTCTCAAAGTATTTTTCGTGAATAACTCAAAAACTACGCATTTTATTAAAAAAATGTAATGAACAAAAATGTAGCTTTTAAATAAACAAAGAAAATCGTTTTTTAAAAAGTGTTGTACGTCCTATACAAAGCGAAATATGGTTAGTGGAAAGGGACTTGTTTTGGGGGGAATACTCGAATCGATGTATTCAACGTCAAATAATGGAAGAAGGATTAATTTTACGTGTATAACGTTCCTGGAGTTTTTTGTAGTACTCAAAAAGACCTTCAAAATGAGCACTTATAAAAATTAATTAGCGCAAAATTGAAGGAGTTATCGTCAATAACAGATGGGTTGCTCATATTTTTTAAGGGAAAATGAGCAGTAAACACTACCATTTCCATCAGAATTAAAATTAATCGTAGACCCTTTAAAGTTAGTTTTGTTTTAGTGTTTTTCATACGATCCTGAAGTTAGACCGGTTTAGAATGCGAATTTTTTAATAATATACGGTAAAAGTTGAAAACGTATTTTTCATTATTCAAAGAAAATCGCCTTATTTATATAATAACTCTGAAACTATGAAAGATACGTAAAAAATGATAGATAACAAAAATGTAGCTTTTTTTTCAACAAATATTCTGCTTTTTTTATTCCTATAGCATAAAAGTAAAGGAGATATCGCCGCTTGAAGTATCCATTTTCATGAAAAAACGGCCTGTCTCGAGCCCTTCGATCCTTTCCCTTTAAAAAACGAAGGACTTAAAAGGTTTTATATGGAAACGATCTTACAGCTCTTGAAATTATCTTTAAAATGCTTTTTTGTAGGATACTATAGCTTCAAAATTAACCGAGTTATGGTAAAAAAACCAATGACATTTTTTCGGAGCAAAATAGGCTTTCTCATTTTTATATATTATATATTATATTATACAAATAAAATAAGTAAAAAAAATTAGTGTGATTATTTATATGCAGCGTAGCAATTTTTTTTATGATTGATTATATTTAAAAATCGATTATAATAAAAATATTTTACATTAATATTGGTAAAAGGGTAGTTTATAAGAGTTGAAAATGGCAAAAGTAAAATATTCTTTCATAAACAATATAAGGGAATTTTTATTTTAAATTATTGCACAATTATAGCATTCCAAGATTTAAAACGTAATTTTTTATCATTTTTTTAGCACAGGGGTGATTTATAAGGGTTGAAAAGTGTTATGAGATACAAATTCTTTCATAAGCAATGAGGGAATTTTTATTTCAAATAATTGCACCGTTAAAGCATTCCAAGCTTTTAAAAAGTAATTTTTTATCATTTTTGTCAATACACGGGTGGTTTTTAGGGGTTGAAAGGGAAAAATTCTTTTATTAGCGATAAGATGACTTTTATTTTAAATAATTGCACGATTTAATCATTCCAAATCTTTAAAAAGTTATTTTTTATCGTTATTTTTTGCATAAGTTTTTAAGGGTTAAATAAATGGTCGAAGAGATCAAATATATCATAAAACTTATTTAATCTTTGTGCTTGAACAAGATTTTTATCAATAAAATGCTTTAAATTCAATTTTTTCAATTTTTTTCACTTAGGGGTAGTTTTTACCCCTAAGATGAGCCTTATTCTAAATTTTCATACAAATCCATGCAGTTTCAAAGAATTCGGAGGTTACGGCTGATTATCAGCCTCAATGACTGTACCAATTTCTAAAAGAACCGAAATCCTCCACGGTTCCCTTTCTAGGTTTGACGCCTCTCATGATGTGCTGCTGCAACAACCTGGTCCAGTGCGCCGATCTCCTGCTCAAGTACGACGCGGACGTGAACGTCAAGGACCGGAAATCCGGCAGAACCGCCCTCTTCCACGCGGCCGAGAGCCACAACTGTAAGTAGTAACGTTCCTTTTTAAGTCTATCGCTGACGTGAACGTATTCTAGTTGAAATGGTGCAGCTGCTGTTGAACTACAACGCCAACACGAAGATAAAGAATTTCTTCGGGACGAGCCCGCACGACGCCATGTACGAGGTGGACGAGATCCCGGAGAACATAAAGAGCGCGATCCTGGGAAAGACGTCGAAGAGAAAGTCCGCGGAGGAGCCGAAAACTTTCAAGATCCGCAAGATAGACGACGGTACGAACAAACTGAAGACGTACGCGAGATTTAAGAAGATCGGTGATTACGAGATTCCTTGCTTCGCGGCGAAGGCGAAGTAAGTCTCGATTTGCGTCGGAACACGAATTCTGTAAAGTTAAAGCATAGACTGGAAAATAAACGGTAGACTGGTAAGTCCAATTTGTTTATCTAGAATACCGTTTGTTTTCGGGTCAAAATGTGAGGATGAAAAACCAATCTAGTCGTCAAAGTGCGGAAAAGACATCGGGTTAGTTATATGAAGGATACAGACCTAGGAATTTTTTTGCTAGGGTCGTTCTTCTGTCATATCGTTTAGCGAATTCTTGTAAATAGACACACCATTAATTTATTGAATTTAGCGTACATTAGTATTTTTTTTCTGTTCGTTGTTCAAGGTAGAGGTTGCAGTGCCGGTTTTAGTTCAAACGTCCCATTCACGAATTAATGTAAATAAAATTGTAATGACCCTACTCTCTTAAAGGTGACTGACCCCAGCGCGCGTATCACAAATGATATATGTAAAAAAAATTGTTTTTGTAGAACTTAAACATAAAAAAAGTTGAATTTTGAGCGTAACCGAAAAATTTCTCAGGAAATAATGTTGATATTTTCATCGTTCTCTTAAATTGGCTTAAAGATCACCCGTTACATGAAAAGTTGATTGAACACATCGTTGACGGTATTTTTTTTTCCACGATATTTTAAGCATACTTATCGCCGAAACGTTTTCGCTACGTCTAACTTAAAATTTACACCCGTAAGAACTTTTTTTTACTTCGCTTTTCACAATTTAAAGCAGATGTGTGAATGTGAATGACATTTTATGCATCTGCCGTGCAAGGGAACGCGAAGCGGAATTGTTCCACGTTTTAAAATTTACCGACATCCGATCCTCCGTATGCTTAAAATATATCCCGAGGGATCGTTTGAAGTCTGACGCGATCCCGTTAAAGACTTTCTTTTTTCATGAAAGGGTGACTAATATGCCCAAGAAGTTACTAGTTTTAAGCGTAGTGGATAACGGTTAGTTTTAGGAATATCCATTTAAAAAGGTGGTTATGTTAATATTTAGACTCAAAAACTTCCCTTTTTCGACAAAAATCCACGAATATTTGACTAAAAAAATGCAATAATGGACTTTGACTTACGTTACTTGAAAATATCCTGAATAGACACTTTTAACACACATAAATTAATGATTAATGAACTAAAATATCTAGCTTGTAAAACATATTAGATTTAAAATACCGCCGTAAGAAGTTATTAGGTATAACGTTAAGTTATGGGTGGATTAGGCATAATTTTAAAGCATTATTTGTAACGCGTCGTCTAAGAACACAAGTTTAGTGGTAATAACCAGTGCGGGCCAATAGTAACAAAGCCACGCCCCTAAAATTTGACTGTCGAACCAATCGCAAAAGTCCATTCAATAATCCATGGCCTGCCGCTATTGCCTTCGGAAGCGATTTTAAGGAAAATCACCTTAAGGATATTTTTTTATAAAATGTAACCATAATCGGTAATCACTTAACACTAAATTCTGCTTGTCGGTCTGCCATGTAGCCAGACGTTTAATAAAGAAATCTCTAAAGCGATTTTTTCATAAATCGTTCAAGAAAAACAACAAGCCGTGGATCATCGTAATCGGTTCAAGTACATCTAAAAGGCGTCTCAGATTTAAAAAGGCGTCTTGATTCTCAAAGGATCGCACTGTATTTACGATAGAACAAATAAAAGAATTACACGGACTCCAGATTTTAGTTATTTTAAAGGCAAGGGATGTTTTTAGACGGCGCCATCTAGGGAGTAACTCCTGTTGCGTACATATTCCGCAAAATCTACCGTTGTAAATGATTTTTAAACAGTTTTTCAGACTAGTATTAAAATTAAAATTTCTTCTGCAAAATTCAAGCTAAGAAACAGGTCGATTAAAGATAGGAGCTCTTGAACAATAAATTTGATTTTGTCGGGACGTTTTTTAACGTTTGAGTTACTCCGGTACAAAAAAATGCTACTCCTAACATACTGTACATATTTAGTGTCATTTTAACTTTTAAGTTGTTTCGTTCGATGTTCCGATGTTAATGTGAGGAGTTTTCAGAGCGAATATTGCAAAAAGTGTTAAAAAATCATCATCACAAGTTAGTAACTGAAACCGTAATATCTTGCGTGATTTTGTTCACTCCTTATGTGTAGTGTACACACAGCTTTTGAAATGTTTGTAGAAAGTGAAAAACGAACGTTTCAAAAAATCAATCAGTATTAATAAACACGATTCAATTTTTACATTTAATTTACTAATTTTTTTATTGTTACACTAATTCAGTATAGAAACATATTTTTTGAGGTACTTATCTGCACTTTTTTTTTTAATATGTATGTTAGGCGTAATATTTTTGTTTAGTTTTAGTATTTAATCTCGAATGCAGCAGCAATTTATTTTCTTTTACACGTATACACTGCCGAAATTTTCTTTTGGAATTGTTATATAATTAAATGTGATTACAAATTTCTGGAAAAAAAATATATACAAAAAACACTTTAATTTAATTGTAACGTTAGATATTAGCAAATAAAGCATTAATAAAACAATGGTGTTTAATTTATTTTGAATTTTGCTACAGTTTCTAATGCAGGTAACTGATAAAAGTTAATGTGCAGCATAGAAGAATATCTTTGAAAAAGAGAAGAATCGTCAAGTCAAATACGAATATTTTCCCTCTTGGAGTGGTTTTGAATTAGTGTAATCGATATCGCAAACTAATTTGCCGATGTCCTATCGAGGTAATCGATATGATCATATTCGATAACATGGAAAGAACAGCTGTAATTCAGTTGTACCTATTAATAGATGGCGCTAGTAAATCACAAACAGAAAATATATATACTCTTTCTCTTTGTCTATGATATCTACACTGTCACTATAAATTACACATAGCCAATTCGTGATCAACCTAAAAGAACCACAAATTTTGTCACTTTGCGTCAAATAATGACGGTCATACTTATTAATCTAGTTCAGGCCGTCATAAGCAAACAAGTGTTAAAAGTTTGTTGAATGTGTCATTTACATCACATTGGCTGAGAGCTTTTCTTATGTCGTTATTAGTACACGCGGATGATTGGTAGATGGCGCAGTCGATAACGTGTAGCTCATTTATTTCGCACGCACTTACGATATTCACGAAATCCAGCTCTGAGCAAATGGAATTCTATATAAATATAAACAATCCATAGTAAATATTGTAAATGCTCGAGAACAGGAATGAGCTACACATTGTCCACTACGCCATCTATCAATATCCATAAGTACTAATACCCGTTATTTAACCACGAAATTTAACAAACAAGGGTTAACGTATTTAGACAATGCAATCTAGATTATTTTCTAGTTTTGCGGGTGGCAAATAATTTAAAATGTTATAATTATATTCGAAACGATTAGTGATTTTTGTTATTTCTGTTTAAACAAATGAATTTAAAAAAAAATTCGTAAATTAATTTGAAAATAATACTGTTCGATCTGATCTTCATCTGATCGAACGAATCGAAACATCCCAGTTATTCTCAATGTCAATATTTGGCGCGAGTTTTAGTGGATATAATGGCGACTTTGAGTGAGGGAACTGAAATTAAAATCTTGTTAAAAACACTGGTGATTTTTATAATTCGGTATAGACCCGTGTATTTTCGATGTTTTCACTTTCTGTACCGTTAAAACAATTTTGCGGAGTTCTGTGCAGTTTATGCCCACTAAACACGAAACGATGTTTTACTAAACATTTGAAACATTAACTAGAAACGTTTCTGTTTCATTACAGAAATGTAGCACTTGAAAACTTATTTAGTGAAACATAGCCGAAACGTTACAATTGAAGAGAGTTGAAACATTACTCAAAATATTTTCCCTTTCGATCTCGGAAACATAACAGACGAACAACCCTTTGCTATTTTTGCTTATTTTATGGAACATTCGGCATTAGTTAAATTTTGCTCTCAATCCCCAATCCCTCTCAAGCGTTAGTTCATTTGCCTTTGTTATACAGACATAAACAGAAAAAAAAATGTGGTAGCATATTTATAACACAAGTCTAGAAAAAATGTATGTTCGTGACTTGCGTAGACTGCGCGTAACAGCCCGAGTTTATTTGTTTCCCGTGTGTCGTTTCAATTCGTATTATGTTAGGTTAGGTTTGCGGTTTGTCAGTTTGCTTGGTTTCGTTGTTATTCATCTTTACTTTGACGCTATTTTATGTGATAATTTGTAGTGTGTGTAGTTGTGGTTATTGTAAGGTGCATATAAAATAATGAATATTGATGCAAAATGTTTAAAATGATGTGCAGAGATTTCCAATTTTGCGTTACATCTACCTAAATATAGTTATACCCACTACTATTACAGACAAGAGGACAAGGGACAAGAACTAAGAAAATGGAACAACAACTATACGTTTCGATATAATTTGAAGAGCAACTACTTAGTCAGTGAGAACTATTTGAAATATGGATGAATCAAGTGAAATAGACGTCGTTTATTTTATATTTTGTACAAATGTTTATATTTCTTTATGTGTATAGGCATGCTTAAATATAAGAGTTTAGGTATACCTACAGATATTTACTTTGTCAAGATATCATTTTGTATCCTTATTTCTGCTGTATAATTTATTATTATTAAAAGGATATATGTAAAATTGACCATGCGTAGAAGAAATTATAACTTTATATTATTTTTCAGTAATGTTATTTGTTTTTTATGTACCTACCATTTTAAGATTCATAATCATAACTAACTTTTTCTAATTATCAGTTCGTCATTGTTACCATATTCATGAAGGTCTCAACAGAAAATTTCCATTTCAGAAGCGTATTTGAACTTCTGATATTGTTTTGTGATATTTTTATTTGTAAGATGAATGGCAAAATTCATAATCCATATTAGAAACTTTTTTCAGTGGCTTCTCAAAAAGAAAGAAATTCTTAGTAAAAGTAGCCGCATCTCCAAACTAGAAGAGCATATTTATTTTTTTTAATATACAATGTAACTTTTTTTAGTTTGAATTAAGTCATTCACAATACACATAAAAATATCACAAAGGAGTATTAGAGATTTTTAAAAAAATACTCACACTATTTATACTATTTCAAAAACGCTTTTGAAATAAAAATGATCTAAAGTTGAGAGCATTATGAGAACAATATGGTAATAAAATTATTATGTTACTCAAACATTTCTGAAAATATACTGAAACGTAAAACAAAAATATCGAGGGCATAAATGGAACATAAAAAGAATGTTACTGAAACCAATTTTTTGATACGTTTAATTGGAAACGTATTTTGGGGAGGACATCTTGGGCTTCTAGAACGTTACCAGAAGGTTGCATGTTTTTTTTATGAAACGTTTCAATAAAAATGGAAACGTTTCTGAAACATGTCAGAAACTGAAAAATGTTTAGTGGGATGGGTGCTAGCAGCTTACCAAGATGAAGATTAAAATTGTGCTTACCGAGTGACTAAGGTATTTATTCGATTTTTTGTTTATACCCATTAATTTTGTATTTGTAATTTTGACAAAAAAGAAGAAGGGTGTAGGTCCAGATACATATCTAGATTTTTTATTACTTATAATCTATCCGTTTTAATTTTTTTTTTGTTCACTACGAGAGTCAAATAGAAACTCAGGTACAAGAATATATATTTATTTTACACAATAATTATACAAATAATAAAAATATCCCAAATCTATATCAACATTAAACTTAGATGCAATAAATAAAAGAGGTAAATTGTAGTTTGTCATAATAATATCAAGTAATCCCCCACAAACTTGAAATACATGTTAATCTAGACATTTGTGTTATAAATAATGAACCCATTTGTAAAACCGCATAATTACTGTACATACAAAACAAATAAATACAAAATATAAATGAAAACGCGTGGAAACTTTGTCTGATTTGCACGTGTGCAAGAATAATATCAAATTGCTTCCCAACCAAGGAATGGCCAGGAAGAATAAAACTCTTAAAGTTATTTTACATAGTATTGACTGTAACAACCATTCTGGTGTCTTCTAGAGAGTTAATACAAAAAATTCGTCGTCACTTTCAGCATTGCGTACAGGGAAACTATTTGGAATATCTTCTGGAACCAGTATAACCTGAAACAGAAAGTCACAGATCAATATTCGACGAATCCACTTTAATAAAGTTCGAGCGCAATCTTGCTCTCTTTTTACCTATTGAGTTTTATCTTCGCCTTCGCGAGACTGCTCACGTCGTCTTTCAGTACGAACTTCCTGACGCCTAGCATGAAGTCCTTTACGTAGCAGTCCCAGGTGAAGCCGTTCGACTCCCGGAGGTCGACGTTGAACCTCTCCCCGTCCTCGGCGTGCTTTACGGCCTCCACCAGCTCGTCCATCGTGGAAGCCTTGAAGTCCCATTCGTGCGTCGAGAAGAAGCTGCCCGCGCTCAAGGCACTGTAGATTTTCCTGCTGAACTTCAGCATCCTGAAAAGAAAAACTTTAAAGTATGCGGTACTCCATCTGGGGACACACTGTATATAATAACTATGGGCCGGTACTTGGTTATGTCGTTCTTAGATTTTTTTTTTATAAAAGGGTCATATTCGCTTCTGTTATATTCGAAAGAGGTCTACTTACATGGGCTGCTGTCCGCTGCAGTACAGGAACACGTCCAAAAGGGCGGAGGGCACCGTGTGGAACAACGTGGCGTAGAGGGCGTGGAGTGTCCTGTTCGTGCGGTACGTGAACCCCGGGTACCACGTCACATACTTGCTGGGGTACTCGAGCGCGTACTTCTGCGTGAGTTCCCCGAACTTCTTCCAGGTGATGGGGTTGGAGAAGCCGCTCGTACAGTTGTACACCCTCATAGCGTTCGACCTGGAACGAAACCGCGCGTAAGTCGTGAAAAAAACTAGCTTTGTGACGCTTACCTGTTAGCCACCGTGTGCCAAGCCGCTGTGATGAGAGTGTCGACCACCACGTCCACGGGGATGACGTCGATGCGGCACTTCTCGTCGCAGATGATCGTTTTGATGGTCCCCCTACCGCACTCCATGAAGATGCCGGTGATGCCGCTGATGTTGTCCACCCAGCCCGGGTAGGGCTCTTTCCAGGCGGCAGTAACTGGAAGAACAATAGTTTTTATTAGCAGCATTTAAAACGTTTGCTACTAGTAAAAAAATAACGCTACATTTAGCTCACATGTTCCGTCACACGGCAAATCACACGTCATGTCGCACGTCACATTTCATACATCTCACATCGCACACACCACATCGCACACATCACATAGGTATCACATTACCATATAGTCCAGGCGGTATCTGTTTTAAAAAGGGTATACTTGGGTAAAAAGCATATGATCGGAGATTTTTGCTTTAACGGCTTCTAAATAACGTCAGAAATGATAATTTTTCTATGCAAATAAAAAAAACGTTGGCTTAATTGTTATTGCAAAAAAGTATAAAAAAATTGCAAAAAAGTTCATTTTTTTCTTGGATTTCTCGTCGACAACTTAGCAACTATTCATTTTAGACAAAAAGGGAAGAGGAAAAAAGTTTTGTAATTAAATTTGAACAAGATAGTTAGTTGCAATTCGAAAAAATAATTATTATTATTGCAAAAATCGGAAAAATCATTTAAACAATTGTAAAAAATGCTAGTTTATTTGTCAATTTTTTTCAGACACTTGAATAATACCTAGGATATTCATACTTTTCCCAATTAAACTTCTTAGTGCATAGAATCATCACACCAAATTTCATCCAATTCGGTTCGATAGTTTTTACATAATAATTGTTTAATTTTTTTATTTTTTTTTAAATTAAAGAATTTTCAAAATCAAATTTCTAAAAATCTAAAGCCTTTGAATACTTGAAAATTTCACCACAAAAAGAAGAGCTCTCAAGCTTTAAAATGCTTTTTGAAAAATTCAAATCGGACGATTAGGTGAGCCGTGGTGATTGTTTAAACATTTTCGCAATTTTCACGCTTATAAACAATTGCAATAATTTAATGTTTTTTTATTTTTTTTTTATTTTAAAATATGGTTTGAAAGTACTCGGAAAGACGAGTATTTAAAAAAAAACCTGATGATCCGCCCATTATTTTCGGAGTTATAGCCCGTTAAAGTTAACCCTTATTTACAGCAAAACTATAAGGGTATAAGGGCTGTTTTTTGAACTAATAGGTTTGTCATTCCGAGTACTTTCCAGATATAAATTTTCAAAATTTGCAATCACGGGCGTCCCATTTAAAATGTCACTCAAAGATATTCAAGACCGCGTGAAATCAATGAGGTATCAGTGGTGGGGGGAGCAAACACACAGCTACTCCGATCTGAATTCTCGAGTTCAAAACTGCGACGCTCGGAAAAATTTCACTTATCTCAGCTTCTAATGGACCAATTTCGATGATTTTTTTTTAAATCGATGTCTCGCAACTTAAAAAATTCAATTATCATATTTTCAACTACCTTTTATTATTAATTATTGGACTTTTGACATGCCGATAAACAGTTACTTTAAAAAATGATTAATTTATTATGTTTATTTATTTACTATGTTAATATTCACGACCAAAATTTTTGCATGTTGCACCAGGTAATACTAGTAAGTTTGTTTAAATATTATAAAATTGTTTAAACAATAATTATTTAAATAAACAACTGAAAATTGGTATTAATTTTTAGTTGTACGATAAATTTCTAAAAATCTTTCAAAAAAAAATAAATTGTGAATAATTATAATTTTAATTTTTTCGTTTACTTTTAAAATATTTATCTAAAATTTATTTTTTATTTATAAAAAAAAGTATAAGAATCTTTTGGATACTTAATTAATACCAACAACATGGTGCAACATGCAAAAATTTTGGTCGTGAAAATTAACATAGTAAATAAATAAACATAATAAATTAATCATTTTTTAAAGTAACTGTTTATCGGCATGTCAAAAGTCCAATAATTAATAATAAAATGTAGTTGAAAATATGATAATTGAATTTTTTAGTTGCGAGACATCGATTTAAAAAAAAATCATCGAAATTGGTCCATTAGACGCTGAGATAAGTGAAATTTTTCCGAGTGTCGCAATTTTGAACTCGAGAATTCAGATCGGAGTAGCTGTGTGTTTGCTCCCCCCACCACTGATACCTCATTGATTTCACGCGGTCTTGAATATCTTTGAGTGACATTTTAAATGGGACGCCCGTGATTGCAAATTTTGAAAATTTATATCTGGAAAGTACTCGGAATAACAAACCTATTGGTTCAAAAAACAGCCCTTATAGTTTTGCTGTAAATAAGGGTTAACTTTAACGGGCTATAACTCCGAAAATAATGGGCGGATCATCAGGTTTTTTTTTAAATACTCGCCTTTCCGAGTACTTTCAAACCATATTTTAAAATAAAAAAAAATTTGAAAAAACATTAAATTATTGCAATTGTTTATAAGCGTGAAAATTGCGAAAATGTTTAAACAATCACCACGGCTCACCTAATCGTCCGATTTGAATTTTTCAAAAAGCATTTTAAAGCTTGAGAGCTCTTCTTTTTGTGGTGAAATTTTCAAGTATTCAAAGGCTTTAGATTTTTAGAAATTTGATTTTGAAAATTTTTTAATTTAAAAAAAATAAAAAAATTAAACAATTATTATGTAAAAACTATCGAACCGAATTGGATGAAATTTGGTGTGATGATTCTATGCACTAAGAAGTTTAATTGGGAAAAGTATGAAGATCCTAGGTATTATTCAAGTGTCTGAAAAAAATTGACAAATAAACTAGCATTTTTTGCAATTTTTTAAATGATTTTTCCGATTTTTGCAACAACAATAATTATTTTTTCGAATTGCAACTAACTCTATCTTGATCAAAATTTAATTACAAAACTTTTTTTCCTCTTCCATTTTTGTCTAAAATGAATAGTTGCTAAGTTGTCGACGAGAAATCCAAGAAAAAAATGAATTTTTTTGCTATTTTTTTATACTTTTTTGCAATAACAATTAAGCCCACGTTTTTTTTTATTTGCATAGAAAAATTATCATTTCTAATGTTATTTAGAAGCCGTTAAAGCAAAAATCTCCGATCATATACGTTTTACCCAACCCGAAACAGATACCACCTGGACTAATAGAAAACCCTGCTATTTTCCCGGACTAGCCTACTATTCTCTAAAAAATATACTTACTTATCGATGGTCTAACAACAGCGGAAGGTATGAGTTCGGAATTCTCCAATACGATGTGCTCTGCCATCGCCTTCGTCAGGGTGTACGTATTGGGATGTTTATCCTACAAAAAAAAACAAATCAGACTTCACCCTCGTTTTTGAAGCGATCTACGACGAACTTACCAACATTTTCTGCGCCAGAACGTCTATCGCTTCGTCTGCGAGAACGTCTATACAGTTTATAACAGCTTCCGGGTCGTAAGGGGGCTTATACACAGTCTCCTCCACGGTGTCCTTGTCCGAATTGCAATAGGCCGTCGAAACGTGTACAAAACTCTGAAAAAAAAACGATATTAATACACCGCGCCTTCCTCGATTGATATCTAGTGACTGACCTTCAAGCGTTTCATCTCCTTGCAGATTTGTAGCACTCTCTTGGTACCGAGCGTGTTGAGGATGACGGCATTCTTGAGGTCTTCGTTGAACCTGCGAAGAAATACGATTTAAAACGGATTAGCCGCTAGGGGGCGTGTCGCGCGCTTACTTGACAGTGGCGGCTGAGTGGAAGACTATGTTGATGTTGTCCACCAGGAACGCCTTGTCGCCGTCGCCGATTCCGAGGTTGGGCAGAGAAACGTCTCCTGAAATTGCTTTAACTTTCTCAAAAGCATCAGGATCCTTCTCCCTTATCCTGTTGAAGACCTGGAATCGTTAAATTGCCGTCAATGTCAAATAAAGGACAGATCAGGGACGCGTGTAACCCCTTTTTCTGTTCTGTTTCGACCTATCAGCGATTGGCAGCACCAATCATAGTCCAGGAGAATTAACACAATGGCATGGCTGTTGCTTGACGTAGATTAGATATTAGTAAAAATCGGTCGAAAATAATATAAACAATGAAAATATAAGGTTGCGCCAAGAAAAAAAGTTGTGCTATTCGCAGAAAAAATTAAAAACTGCAAAAATACTCAAAAATCATGTGTTTTTCCTAACATTTTCCAATATAACTTCTTAAATATGCAGTTTACAGAAAAAACTATTACTGCTGAAATTGTTTGTTATGAAATTTGCTATAAGACACAATTGTTTTGAGACCTGCGTATTCAATATTTTTGTTGCTAGAAAGCCAAAACAGCGTAAGAAAGTGATGAAAATCGAGGTAATTTTGAAGCGTTCAACTGATAGGTAAGAAATTGTCCAATTCTACTATAAATGTACATGTAAGTACTTTAAAGGATTACAAAACGAAATTCCAAAACCCGATCGAAATCGGTCTGATAGTTTTGGTATGAGACAATTTGTTACTAAATTTCAGCGCGAAATGTCGTTATTTTTTTGCGTCAGTGCTGGGGTTAAAGTTAGGCATTTTAATTGGCGCTGATTTTTTTACACATACTTGGACTCTTTAACTATCATATAGAATCGTTATAATATTAATTTTCTTTTTTTTAATAATTTTTGGAGCGATTTTAAAAATTCGAAAAATTTTAACTTTATAAACAAATACTTTCGTGAAGCCGTTTTGCGGGTTGGAATATATACCAAAGTACTAAAAAATAGTTCTCGGAAAGACGCTTAACTTGAAAAAAAGAACGTTCAAATCGGTCACATAAGTTCCGAGATATCAAGTGTCAAAGTCAACAAGCGTTAGCTGCAAAACTATGCATAATGTAACAACAACAAAAATTGAATTTGGTAGGTTTTTTAAGAACTTTTCGTATGTGCTTTTATAAATATTATCGCACGTGTGCTTTTTATATGAAAATTCAATGAATATCGCCAAACCGACCGTTTGAGCCGCAAAACCGGGGGGAGGGGATGAATGATAGAAATTGAAATCGCGCGTTCAAAAAGAGCGCGCCCTCTTCGGCGTTCAATATCTCGGCTTCTACGGCTCTGATTTTGATGATTTTTTTTAAATCGATATAGCAAAATGAGAGGAATTCAATTATCAAGATTTCATTGAAATATTATAAAGCCTTATCAGCCTATTACGACTGCTTAAAATTTCATACATTTCATTGTTGTATATTCATGTAAATAATATCGATGACTATTGTTAAGAGGTATTAATTTTAATAACTACTTGGTAATAATGTTTAAAATCTTGAAATTTTTATGTCCTAATGTAATTTATTTATTGTTTACATATAAAATAGAAAAAAATGCAGATACAAATAATTATTATTTGATATTTATAAAACGTATCATCGCATTATTAAAAAATGTATTAAGCTTTTTTATAGCATAGTTGCTGATTTCGCTCTCAAAAATTTCTTCCTTTAGTAAACAATTAAAAATCGCACTTTGCAATTCATTATACAGGCTGTCATGCGGTGACGACCCATTAGAATATTTCGGAGACTACTTCGATTTGAATTTTGAAAATTTTTGACCTGGTGGTTTTGGAGGTTTTATTTAGAGTTTAAATAAAATAATGCCATTGTTGTAGTACTTCCGGTTATACCGGTAGTCGCCACCTATTTGCTTATTATAAATGGAACATCCTGTATATTTTTGTATATTTGAATTCTACGCATATTTTTAGAGGACTTTTATAAAGCTTCCCTATATGTATCTCTAATGGTCTAATGGTCTTCGACCTATTTCAATTTCATATTTATTGTCGAATTTGATTGACCGAACCGCCAAAACTTGGTTTTTCTAAATGGGACACCCTGTATATTTAATAAAAATCTGTTGTAGAAATTTACTCCACATCTATCCATATTACACCTCCCTATACCTATCTTTTAATTTTTCTGTTTTTGACGGATTTTGTGATAAATAAAATGATCCAATTTCTTGCGAGGATGGCTATGAAATTGCTGGCAAATTTAAAAAATCAAATTAACCAACCATAAGTCATTATTTGCTGTTAATTTAACAGTGGTACCTACTTACAATTAGTTAAGCACTGATTTGAAAATAATGGACAACAATACTTATTCAAATGCTGATATTATAAGTGAAAATACCAATGATGTAAAAAAGTGAAAAACTTTAATAATACGATAATTATGAAAGTATAATAAACACGTTTTGTAAAAATAAATAAATAATTATTTGTATCTATATTTTTTTCTATATTATATGAATACAATAAATAAATTACATATTAAATAAAGATTTCAAGATTTTATTTAAACATTATTACCATGTAATTATTAAAACTAAAACCTAGTAACAGTGGATTATGTACCTATATCCTACCATCGATATTATTATTTACATGAATATACAGTATAACAACGAAATGTGGAAAATTTTTAGTCGTAATAGACCGAAAAGGGCTTTATAATATTTTAATGAAACCTTGATAATTGAATTCCTCTCATTTTTCTACATCGATTTAAAAAAAAATCATCAAAATCGGAGCCATAGAAGCCGAGATACTGAACGCCGAAGCGCGCGCGCTCTTTTTGAACGCGATTTCAATTTCTATAATTCATCCCCTCCCCCCGGTTTTGCGGCTCAAATGGTCGGTTTGGCGATATTCATTGAATTTTCATATAAAAAGCACACGTGCGATAATATTTATAAAAGCACATACGAAAAGTTCTTAAAAAACCTACCAAATTCAATTTTTGTTGTTGTTACATTATGCATAGTTTTGCAGCTAACGCTTGTTGACTTTGACACTTGATATCTCGGAACTTATGTGACCGATTTGAACGTTCTTTTTTTCAAGTTAAGCGTCTTTCCGAGAACTATTTTTTAGTACTTTGGTATATATTCCAACCCGCAAAACGGCTTCACGAAAGTATTTGTTTATAAAGTTAAAATTTTTCGAATTTTTAAAATCGCTCCAAAAATTATTAAAAAAAAGAAAATTAATATTATAACGATTCTATATGATAGTTAAAGAGTCCAAGTATGTGTAAAAAAATCAGCGCCAATTAAAATGCCTAACTTTAACCCCAGCACTGACGCAAAAAAATAACGACATTTCGCGCTGAAATTTAGTAACAAATTGTCTCATACCAAAACTATCAGACCGATTTCGATCGGGTTTTGGAATTTCGTTTTGTAATCCTTTAAAGTACTTACATGTACATTTATAGTAGAATTGGACAATTTCTTACCTATCAGTTGAACGCTTCAAAATTACCTCGATTTTCATCACTTTCTTACGCTGTTTTGGCTTTCTAGCAACAAAAATATTGAATACGCAGGTCTCAAAACAATTGTGTCTTATAGCAAATTTCATAACAAACAATTTCAGCAGTAATAGTTTTTTCTGTAAACTGCATATTTAAGAAGTTATATTGGAAAATGTTAGGAAAAACACGTGATTTTTGAGTATTTTTGCAGTTTTTAATTTTTTCTGCGAATAGCACAACTTTTTTTCTTGGCGCAACCTTATATTTTCATTGTTTATATTATTTTCGACCGATTTTTGCTATTATTTAATCTACGTCAAGCAACAGCCATATCTCGAAGGTTTTGAGCTTAATTCTCTTGGACTATTATGCAATGTTGGGATGCTTAAGTTCGGCGGCCGCGTGGATTATAATCGTTTACGTTTCTCTGCGCTCTTACCGGGTTTTTGAAGAGTTCCTTGAGCCTCTGCTCGACGGCCATGCCGCGCTTGGGCCTCATGAGGACGTAGACGGAGTCGAGACCGTCGCACGACCTGAGGAGCTTCTCTACCAGAGCCTTCCCCAGGAAGCCGGTGGCGCCCGTGATGAAGATCTTGGAGTTCTCGTAGAACCCCGAAACGTTGTTCATTGTCGCTTCGCCGCTGAACAGGCTGTTGTTGTTGCAGTATTCGATTTCGCGGGGAAACTTCTTCGCCTCGCTCGCGGCGAACGGCGAGTTCTGTGGAACTCCCATCTTGTACTGGATCTGGAAAGACGAAGTACAGATTTGCCTTTACAAAAAAATTAAAAATTAAAATCGTTTCAAATTTTTATACACAAATATCATGATTCCTAAATTGTCCGGAAAATCAACATCTAATAATTGTACTTTGCAAAACTTCACTTCAAATTTCAAAATAAAGTTAACAACAAATAAATTATGTTTTTGATATAAATCTAGGTATCACTAAAAAATATTCCGTTGTAGTTCTTTTATTATAACAAATTATCGTTGTTTTCAACATTTTAAGTATCTTTCCAAAGTTTCTTTAAAAATTCCGCCCACACTGTCTGTGTGATACAATAAAAGGGGATGGAAACTGATGCATCTCTGGTTGCCTAAATTATACCGAAAAATGATAAAAAACAGCCCTTTTTTTATTCCAATATATCTTTTTAAAGCAATGGAAGAAAGTAGTAAAATTTCATATTACATTTGGCAAAGTATAAATGAAGACAGTAAAGCAAAAATTAATTGGGACAGGTAAATAATTCGTGAGAAATTAATTTCTAAATATGAAGGTTTTTTGGACTTTTACAAATAAACGATTATTTCTTCATAGTATTATAGAATTATGCAATTTTTTATATAGTTGTCTTTAAATAAATAAACTGATTAGACTTTATTTCATAGTTTGTTCATCACTTTATTATTTAAAAAGTTATATTGGAATAAAATTATTAAAAAATATTCATTCATGAATAGCATTATCTCCGACTTTTAATTCGCTTGATTTGTAATAGATGTCGCACTAGTAAAAATTTATTTATGAATGGACTCGGGTTATTTTTAACGAACAGCTGTTGTATGTGGTTAATTTGGTATAACCTGATTCTGAATTGGTAGTCATGGTTTCTGTTAATTGATACGTAAATATTTAAAGAATGTCATGATCATTTTAGATATATTTTTGTATAAAAGTATATAAGTAACAGTGCAAGTCCATACTATTATATAATTTTAGAAAATATGAAATATAAACAATTTTTAGTTTATTTAAAACCATAATTTATAATTAATATACCTATATTAGTATCTACGGTTAGTGGATAAGAGGGAAAACATTTTTATTTTCTATTCTACTAGAAAAAGTAATTCGTGACAAAAAATATTTTGCTTTTTAATTGAATACGTTTGTCATGAAAAACTGTAATAAATATATATACAGGGTGATCAGAAATTTAACAAAATTAATAACGTTGAAGAATAAACTGCTTTTGTTTTTGATAATATAAAAAAAATGTTAATAAGAAAAGTTGTTCATAACGGAAAGTTACGTTATAATTACGATTTGTGAATAAAGCGGCTTACTTTGGTATAAACAGAAATGGAAAATATTATATTTTTAATAATTAATATTAAGTAATTCTTGATAAAAAAAATTTGCATATTAATATAAATAGAATTTTAATTGTGAATATACATAATAATGAGAAAATATAAAAAATATGTACGATATACTTATTTTGTCCAAAAAATGTGTAAAGAATTATGTACAAAAGGACGATTTGAGTCTAAATTTTTTTTATGAGAAATAGGTAATTCAGTTCACTTCAATTGAAAAAATAGTTGTCTTATAGGTACTTTAATACCTCCAATATAAACAGAAATTCTGTGGAACAGTGTAGTTTAATAAATATGTAAATAAATGAAAGTAATAAAGAAGTAAATAGAATAGGTACAGTAGAACAGGAAAAAATTTAAAAATTCATAAAATAAAATTATTTCTTTTTATTAATTTGAGTTTCTATAATATATTCTGGATCCATACATCTTTTTCCCTGTGGAATATTTTTGTATATTATTTCTGGTAGTATACAATTTTTATAAAATTGTTCCAAATTTGTTGCCATTGATTTTTTCCATAATTCTTCATATTTCTTAATTTGTTCTACATAGAGTGGGTTGTTTTCACCACTATAGGTATATTACGAAATAACATATAGACTTCTTCCGGTTCCGTATCTGAAAGTAAGAAAAGAATTTTACCAGATAATATTTGTTATAAACATAGATAATTATACATTTTTACCTATTATGCTTTTGATTTACCATAATGATATATCTAGTCATATATAGGGTGCCACAATAGTGCGATAAAGTTTAGTATAACTGCCTGTAGTAGTGATACGAAAAAAGTTACTTGCTCGGATTCACATTTTATTATTATTTCCATTATTCATTATTTTCAGACCGAATTAAACGTTCAGAAAATCTTGTTTTTGGCCTGAAGATTTTGCCCTATACAACTATAACTGAAAATAATTATAAACTTTGTCACACTATTGGAACAGCCTGTATGTGCATTGCAACGACAATATGTCATATTTATATTACGGCTAAGTAAGCGGAAAGTCCATTGTCGCATATGTAATTTTTATTTTCAAATAATCAAATACAATACCTACATATTTATTTTAATATCTATTATTTACTTGAATTTAGTACTAAGTACAACTATGCCTAGCAAATTGTAATACTTACTCTGTTAATGTTTTTTCCTTCATATAAAAAATAGTAAACTCCACAAATAAAATATTTCGCAGCCACAACGCAACAATAAAAGATAACAGCTCAAAGATCCATACAAGAAATAATTACATTCGCACCTACTCTGGTCCGAATCCATATAAGTACTAAAATGTAGAAAATAATATGAAATAAAACTTTTAGTTGGCTGCAAATATTATAAATTTGTACAACCACTTGCCATCCTCCTTTTTTGTAAATATGTACATAATAATATGTAGAAGATAGAAAATAGAAATATTTTCAGAACAAAAAACCGGCGGCCGCAAATTGGAGTTTTTATTATTTTATTACCCTTCTCTTTTCATATGCAATTATGAGATAGCAAGAGAGTGGGATGGACGTATAGGCCGGACAACTCATTATCGTGCACGTGTGCGTGCACCTGGCATTTTCTCGTTTTTTTTAGGTGTGTTTTGCCGGAATTTGAATGAATGAAATTATCGTACTATTTTTACTATAAACGTATTTCCTGTAGCGACATCTATACGAATATTGTAGTACTTTGTTAGATGAAACGGGACTTCAATTTCCGTTCTTAAGCAAATACTAAAGTAATTAAATGCGATAATGACCCGATAATTGTTATTACATTTATCATGTAGTATTATGTCATCTAAGCAAGTTCAAAGTACAGGTATTAAAAGCGCAATTCCGTCAAATGATAAAAAAATCCAGTATTTATAAATACAGCATAAAAAAACATAAAAATTAAGCTTTCAACATCAAAGGAAACATTTTACTGTCCGCAGCTGTACCGTGTGTTCAAATGAGAAAGGGCGTCGCCATGTCTCAGAACTCAGGACCAGTAAAAATCATTGAAAAATTATTTTTTTCGAAAACTGTCATCAAAAGTCGACATTTTCGTTAAATTTTCAGTTGACAAAGTGAGTCTTTTTTTGTCACGTGGTTGTAAAATACTTTTAGGTTCTAGAACGTCAGTCTTTTTCGTTCTAGAATATAAAACAAATGTCAAAATAATTTTTGATTTTTTCGAAACTTATTTATGATTTTATTAATTAAACAATTTTAAGTAATATAACATTTCATTATAAAACAGTAACGTCTAAAGCAGTGCCCTGTATAAATTTCTGGATGAGGCAAATTAATTGAGATAAGCTGCTATTTCTTTTGGCACATTCCTTGATTTGTTGACGCCAACCACTTAGTTAACCCTTCCTTGAGTTCCCTGACATACTTCACAAAAAATCTTCGACCTGTAGTAACTACAGACAACTTTTTCTGATTTCTCAAAAAAATTAAACTAAAAAAAGTTGTTACACTGTATATTAAAAAAAATAAATATGCTCTTCTAGTTCGGGGATGTGGCAACTTTTACCAAGAATTTCATACTTTTTGAGAAGACACTGAAAAAAGTTTCTAATATGGATTACGAATTTTGCCATTCATCGTACGAATAAAAATGCCACAAAACAATATCAGAAGCATTTTAAAAAAGCTACACATCATTTTATATTGTTCAAATACGCTTCTAAAATGGAAATTTTCTCATGTTGAGACCATCATCGTGAATATGGTAATAATGACGAACTGAGAATTAGAAAAAGTTAGTTATGATTATGAATCTTGAAATGGTAGATACATGAAAAACAAATAACATTACTGAAAAATAATAGAAAGTTACAATTTCTTCTACGCATGGTCAATATTATTACATCTATCCTTTTAATAATAATAAATTGTACAGCAAAAATAAGGATACAAAATGATATCTTGACAAAGTAAATATCTGTAGGTGTACGTAAACTCTTTTATTTAAGCATGCCTATACACATAAACAAATATAAAGATTTGTACAAAATATAAAATAAATGACGTCTATTTCACTTGATTCATCCATATTTCAAATAGTTCTCACTGACTAAGTAGTTGCTCTTCAAATTATATCGAAATGTATATGTTCCATTTTCGTAGTTCCTGTCCCTTGTCCTCTTATATACAGCGTGGTAAAAAAGTTCTGCATAAAATTCATATTTTCGTTCAACAATTTTTTTTTCGAAAAACAGTGAGACCCGTCGATTTCTATTTGATCCAGGTCACCTTGTTATGTGGAAAAATTTTTTTCGATAATCCACTTACAGCGGCGATGACATAATTTTTTTTTTAATTGACAACGCATATTTTTTTCGTTCGAAATTGATGACAGTGATAATTATCTAAACAACGGTGTGAAAATTTCGATGTCTTACATAACAATTTTTTTTAGAAAAATGCACCTTNTTGAAATGTAATTTTGTCAACTTTGTCCTTTTAGGAGCCATTAATAGTGTAAGTAGACAATTATCACTTATAAGAACTTAAGGTGCATTTTTCTAAAAAAAATTGTTATGTAAGACATCGAAATTTTCACACTGTTGTTTAGATAATTATCACTGTCATCAATTTCGAAGGAAAAAAATATGCGTTGTCATTTAAAAAAAAATTATGTCATCGCT